TCCTGTCTTGCCCGCTGCTCCCCTCAGCAGTGTATTTCGTCAGTCTGCCTGTTCTGTTCCCTGCTCTGTCTCTGGTGAATCCTCTCACCCCCTGCATCTCTGGCCTGCACCCCAGTTCTTATATGCATAAATAAATCTTAAAAAAAAAAAAAAAGGATTCTGTGATTAAAGAATAATTGAGGTAATAGAGTTAAGTAGTTTCTTTACTGTGGAACTTCTCAGAGACTCTAACACATTAATGCTTGCTTGCTAATAGTCTCCAGAAGGGACTATAATATATATCCATCCAGCTCCTCAAACCTTTGTGACCAAAGAACTCAGATAGATGATAGATATATACACATGCATACAGAAATAAATATATCTATATCTACCTGTATATCTATAGTTGTATCTCTATATATGCATGTACATATGTGTGTGAATCTCTCTCTCTCTCTATCCATCCATTTACCTACCTACTTATCTGAGAGAGGAGAAAGTGGGGGGAGAGAGAGGAATACTAAGTTAAATATGCATATGTATACACACACACACACACACACACACACACACACACATAAAATAAGGAATTGGCTCATGTAATCATACAGGCTGCAATCTCAAGATCTGCAGTTGACAAGTTGGAGACCCAGAAAGCTGATAGCATAGTTCCAGAGTCAGTCCAAAGGCACAGAGGAACAATGTTCCAGATGAAAGATAGAGAAAGAAAATTCTGTTCCTTTCAGCACTTTCTGTTCAGGCCTACAGTGTACAGAATGGAGGCCACCTGCATGGGGAGAACAGTCTGCTTTACTCAAGCTACGGTTCAAGTGTCAACCTCACCCAGAAATACCTTCACAGACACACCCAGAATGATGTTTAACCAAATACCTGGGCACCCTGCAGCCCAGTCAAGTGGGCACATGAATCTAACCATTGTGTTTAATCAAGTCATCTCTTCAAGCTTTAGTCACTTCATTTGTAAAATGAGATATCTAGTTTTGTGAGAATTAAATAAAATGACATATTTAAAGTACATATTTAAAGTACTTAGTGCAGCAGCTAGCTGGTAATTTGCTCTCAATGCAGATTTTTTTAAAGCACAAAATTGGATTCAGGGCAATAGTAACTACCTGTTCTTATCAACTCTTCCTCTTAGCTGCTCTTTTGCTGCCAGGGTCTCAGTGCCCTACAAATGCTGAGTCAGCCAAGGACCCTCAAGGGCTATTACACACAGACGCGACACAGACACTGGTCTGTCTCCTGCAATTTGCTGCACAGCCTGGTATGTCCCCTTTCCCCTGACCTCTTGCAGATGGCAGTTGTCTGTAGCCCTTTGAGGTGAGGGTGTTGACAGGCTTGCCAGAGACGCATCTCTACTCATCTAAGATGGCGGCCTCCTGATTCCAGACTGGTTCTGAGAAGTCAATGGAAAATCCTCCAAGAAGCACAGAATCTTCCATGAAAATCACTCCTTCAGCTTCTTCTGAAAGCTCTCCATTGCTTTTTCACTTAATATTTATTGAGGGGCCTCCTGATGGTGCAAGGGGTTAAGCACAGCACTATGAAGATATCCGCAGCCTCTGCAGCACGAGTTCAATCCCGGGCCCGCCAGGGAGCAATGCACATGGTGCAGCAGACCTCTCCTGTCTCCCCTCCTGCTCCCTTCAGCAGTGTATTTGTCAATCTGTGTTTTGTGTTCCCCACTCTGTCTCTAGTAATCTTCTCACCCCCTGCACATCTGGCATGTACCCCACCCAGTTCCTACATGCATAAATAAATAAATCTTTAAAAAAATATTTATTATCAACTACATGTCAGCAGCATGCTAAAGAGTAGCTCACAGATGGTTGGCTATTGCACTGAACACTGAAGATTTGGAGTAGGGGCCTCCCCGGTGGCGCAGCGGTTGAGCGCTGGGCTGCGAAGCTGCCCACAGCCTCTGCAGCGCGGGTTCGATCCCCGGCCACTGGCGAGGGTCCCACAAGGCGCGCAGACCTCTCCTGCCACGCCCCTCAGCAGTGTACTTCTGTCCTTCTGCCTGTTCCGCTCCCCGCTCTGGTTCTGGTGAATTCTCTCACCCTCCTGCACTTCTGACTATACCTGGTGCTTGTATAAATAAATAAATAAATCTTAAAAAAAAAAAAAAGATTTGAGAGTCGGGCAGCTTCTGCCTCTTCCCCAGACCCAGGGTCCAAGAGGCCGCAAGGTGGGTGTCCTGAAGCCTTGGGTGTGAAAGGCTCAAGAGGAAGGTGCAGTGGTGGCTTTTGAAAGTAAAAACTATTCTTCTTATTGTACCCATTTCTATATTGGATCTTTTGCAGCAACTTCTGGCCAATGTGCCATTTTGGGACAGAGCTAGACACAAACAATTAGAGCGTCTTCCTCTTCTCTCTTTTGTCTGCCCTCTTCTGGGATTTTCTGCCCATTCCTGGGTCTGAAAACATCTGACAAGGAGCTGAACTGTCTACACCAACAAGAGTCGATGCTTCAAAAGAAAAACAAGGTTCTAGTGTTGGTCAATGTTGCCAGTGATGCCATAGGTAAGTTTTAAATTCAGTGAGCTTAGTGCAGATCCCCTACCACTGCAATAACCCTTGGGAGTTTAAGGTCCCATGGGTATGATATTATGGATCCCAAGTTACAGTTTACTTTATCCAATACAACAGTTTTTCCTCTCAACACAGGAACAGATTGCTATTTCTATGTTTGAGCACCAAACATTTGTGTTTGGAAACCACGATGAATGCAAAATAGTCGTGTTTTTGTTTTGTGTTAGCTAACTATGAACAAACAGTGTGCATATTTTTAAATGTGTATGAATGGTGTGTATTCAATGTAGACACCATTGCTAATAAATAATGTGCCAGCCATTTCTCATGCCATGGAACATTTAAAAAATAATTTAAAACCATTTTATATTCTCCCTCTAATCTTTTATTTTTGAAAAGTTTCCACCTAAAAAGGAATTAAAATAATACTATAATGAGCTCATACATTCTTCACTTAGATTCATCAATTGGTAATATTTTGCCACATTAATATTGGCTGGCCAGATATTTGGTGAAACATCATTCTGAGTGTATCTGTGAAGGTGTTTCTGGATTAGAGTAACATCTATGTCTCTCTCTCTCTTACACACACACACACACGCACACACATAAATGCACCTTTGTGACAAACATTAAGATCAAGAAACAGATCACCAGCACCCCAGAATTCTCCTCAATTACCTTCCTGACATCACCCCCTAAGGGAAGTCACCATTCTGACTTCTAATACCAAAATTGGTTTTGTCTGCTTTCTAATGTCATGTGAATACAACCATCCTTTATATACAACCATCCTTTTGTTCAGTAATACTATGTGAGGTTCATTCACATTGTACTCTCTTTTCTGTTTACCTACATGTGCTGCCCCCACCAACCAAACCAAATCCCAAATGGAGCACAAAATCCAGACACCTTAGCTTGGCATTTAACAACGATCTTTGAGAGGAACTAAGTTTTATGGTAAAGAGAGAGATCTCCCAGCTACATTTCAGGACAAGTGACCTAACTCCCAAAGCCTCATCTGTTAAAGGAACATTAGTGGTACCTACCTCCTCTATGTGTTTGAGGATGAACAGAACTAATACCTATAGATTCCTTAGAGCAATGCTGAACAACTAAGTTTCCACAAGGCTCACTATTAGTGTTGTTACTGCATTTGCACATCGCTCTGAAGAATCTCAGATTGGAGCAAATTTCCTGAGAAAATATCTTAAGAGAGAGAGAAGATTGGCTTTGAAGTTGGAACGATTGGGCTCAAGTCCCAGCATGCTATGTTCTTACTCAGTGTGACCTTCATTTCTCTGAGCCTCAGTTTCCCTACTATAAAAGGTGCCAATACCCACTTTGCAGACTGAGATAAAGATGAAATCAAATGAGATAAATGTACAAGAAAATGGTCTCTAAAGTACAACCACACTCTGCTAATGTGAGGAATTATAATTATTAACCCAGCAAAGGGTGTTCTGTGCAAGCATTTTCTGATGATCTTCATTGCTGCTCTCTTGTTGACTCAGTGCATGTCAACAGATGACTCCATTTCAACCTAAATGTCCCTTGCCCAAGCTAATTGCTAATTTAGACTTAAACTGTGCCCAACTCACGATTAGAATTCAAACCTTGGAACTCCATTAGGGATGCATAATGCTACATTTTCCTTCACTGAAATTAATCAGCTGCAAATGATTAAATTACTATATATAGTGTGAAACACAACAAAGCTGTAATTTTTATATAAATTCCAGAATGTTACATTATTTCCCTTCAGTGCTGACATTGGAATAATTCCTCCACAATCATTGCTTTGTCTTCTGTAAAATAAAATTTTAAAAACCCATTGCTCTTCAAGCGTACCAAAGTCTGTGTTCAATATTTAATATGATTAATGTTTACTGTATTTGTTGTGGGGTTGTCTGCTAATTGTGGCGTTAAGCCGCACCCCCTTCATCATCTTCGGGGGCTGAGGGATTTTGGTTCAGAACCACTGTTTGAGAAAGTATCAATTAAAATTCAGCTCCATTGAACACATGAATCTTTTTTGTTGTTTGTTTGTGGTGCCCAGCATATCTAGTGGCGACACTCCTCACTCCCTCTCCAAGCTGCGAGAGCAGATTGAGATGCTAGGCGACTTCTCAGTGAGGCTGGAACCCGTGGTGAAGCCCCAAGGCTGGCTCCTCAGGCAAGCAGGGACCAGAGAGATGTGTGTGCAATCCCAGGGCTTCCTGCCAAAACTCCATTGCTGCAATGGGGGGCCTCTCCTGGAAGGGGCGAAAAAGGTGGCCATGGCAAAATTTAAGCCAGCCATGCACTGGTGTGACCTCTGGAGCTGCCTCAAACTCCCTAAATTTTGTGCCCTGGACACTTCACCTGCATCCCATTCTGAGTAAGAGTAGTGATTAATCATCAAAAACAATGTAGGACAACCCAGTATGTCCTACACCACTGATTGATCTTGGATCAGTCTCTTACCTTTTTGCTTTCTTATCTGCAGCATAAGATTAAAAATCTCTGTTGGGAAGATAGAGGATCGAGCGGGTGCTCCGTAAGTTGCAGAATGTTCTCCAGATGCCGGGGTCATGGGCACTGAGTGGCTGTTTCTCTGGCTTGCCTCCCCACTGCTTCAGTCTTCTGGTTCCCTCCTCAAAACCTCTGCAACCATTTTGGAGAAACTCAGGGCAAAGTCTTGGAAGTGCTGTTGACCAAGTATCCTCAGACCCCTTTTGGCTTCTAAAACTCAGGACAGGTGTCTCCCATTGCTGTAACTGCTCCTTCCAGAGGGTGGAGCACCAATCTGCTGGCTTTGAGGCCAAATGGACCCAGCCATACCCACATCACTCAGTAGTGATGGAGTGATCTCATCCATCACCCTGTCCCATGCTTGTCAGTTCCACTTTCAAAGCATATGTGGGCAAACCACCCCTCCAGTTTCTCTTTGTAACCTCTCTCTGTGGAGCCCATATATAGGACCGCGTGGAGGCTGAGTCCATGACTTTGTTCCTTCCTCTCATCTCCCTTCACCTCTGAGAACCCTGCCCACAGATGCACCCAAAGCTTGAATACCACACTAATGCTTGGCCATCATAAGTATTGATTGGCACCCTCTGTTTTGGGGGGTACACAGAAGCGGGCATGATCCTTACCCCAAGAGCTCAGAACACACGGGGGATTTCCTCATGCCACGTCTGTCTCACCAAGCCTACTCAAAAGGTCCTCTTTCTATTAGCGAGCTCTCCTTTCGTTCTCATGGAGAATGTGCTCTCTCCTTCACTGGAAGCATCTAGAAGGTGGGGTGCCTGCATATTTTTGCCTCCATCAGCTGCAGAAAAATAGGAACCAACTTTGTGACATGTGGATGTCAAGTTGTCCTTTCAGAACTGGAGAGAGATTCTCCTAAATTCCTTTACACATTCTTCACTGATCCCTTTTGCCCAAGAAGACATATTTATACACAGTCTGTCCAGTTTGGCCAATGAACAAAGGGATGTTCAAGTGGGATTGGAATTGAACCCCATAGCTTGACCTAGAGTTGATAATCTGCCAGTATGTAAGTATGTCCAAGCAGATTATTAAAATACTGAAATACTTCTACATCAGCTGGTCAATAACCACGCCAAGGGCTCCTCTGCATCCCATCTTGGGTCCACTAGATTTCCCCTCAATCAGGGAAAAAGGCACTGGCACCCCAGGGTTAGTTATTTTCTTGGAGGCAGACAATTTAAGACTTAAAAAAATGCCAAGAAGAGGAAGTGGAGCTGATTCCACTATGGGCTAAGGCCATGCCTTAGCTGTGGTCGTCCATTCTATTGGAATCTGCTAAGTCCAGAGGGACTCTGTTCCATTCACGCCCTGAAGGCTGGTCAGCCAGTCTGCTGGAGTCCCTGCCCTCCCACCGCTGTGGCTGATGGGGGACCTCCCCCCTTCTACCCCTTAGAGCTGATGGGGGAACAAAATGGCCTTGTCTGTGCACAATTTGCTGTTGATGAAAAATCCCAACAGGAAAGCCTGTGGATAAGAAAAGTTCCTGCTTATTTTTTCAATTTAAATTCAAAACCTCCCTTATCATTAGGCCTGGAAGAGCTGCTAATTCAGCCCATCCAGAAGTGCCCATCAAAAGGCTAATTTGCATTTTGCCCCAGGACAAATTTATGGCTGAGGTAAGTGGAGGGAGAGAAACATTTCCTCCTGGTATGGGAAGAAGGAAACCCTGGTGCCAGTGTTCTGAGAGGAGGCAACTCCAAGTCTGGGGGTTTTCTTCCTCCAGACCAGGGAACACTCTCTCTGCCTCAGGGACAGCCTGGCCTGGGACCTAGCAGCAAACAGCCAGATTATCTGTGAGTCTTTTCAAGTTGGCTTGAAACTTGCGCAGAGCAGACATCACCACTGCGCCACCTGCTGGAGGTTTAGGAAAAGCATCTAAACTCATGGTTTGACTGTCACTAGTGGCTGTAGAGTCCTAATTATTTTTAGTCCTCCTTTTGTCTTATGCCAGTTACTCAGCTTTTTTTGAAGATAACTAGAAAGTTCATATACGTGAAACAAAACATAAACATCACTCACAACATGGTCACCCAAAGGTTACCATTGTTTATATGTTATTATTTTCCTTTCAGTCTTTTTTCTAGTAGGCTGTTAAATAAATTCATATCCACTATAGGTCTCATTCAATACCTGTTATTTTTATCTTGATTTTCAGACTTAAAAATGTCTTAAATATCTTTGCATATCATTAGATGTTATCTGCAATATGACTTTGGCTTAGCAGTTTTTTCTATCCCTATACATAGTTCCAGGACCTCTTCTAACATGCGCTAACAAATCATGTTTCCTATGCTTTGAGTTTTTATTAAAATCTCATTTTCCCTCTACCTTTTCCCTCCCATTATTTTGTTCTCTCTCCTTCCTTTCTGTTTTACATCTTTATTTCTTCATTTTTACTCCAATAGGAAAAGTCCACAGCAGAAGTTGTTGGGGGCACCTCAATGAAGTGCCTCTTGCCTTCCTCACCACTTGGATACAAGGAACTCAAAAGACTTTCTGCTAAGCCCTGGATCTCTCTTCCAGTTGGGTTCTGCTGTGCCTGGCTTAGAAGACAAGGCATCCAGCAATCTTTTCAAGATGAGCAAGAAAAAAGGGATTCCAAACTAAAGCCCCCTCCATGTCTAGTAAAGAGCAAAAAGCTAACAAGTCCTGATCATTTAATCTGTGCCAGCCTGGCTCCGCTCTAAGAACCTGACATGAATTATCACATGTGAGCTTCACAAAACCCTCATGAGACTTAGTCCCTCTCTTTCCTTCTTGCCATTCTACTGGACAGTTGAAGACAACAAACTTGAGATGAGCAAAAGAACTTGCCCGCATCACCAGCTATTAGGCCATACCTCAGGGTGCAGTGGCTGCCCATTAAAACAGTACAACAAAACAAAGAAGACTTTCAGCTTCTCCACATTGCAAATATTCTCCCCACAACAGAGAAGTAATGCCTATTGCCAACTACACTGTGGCCAGGTTGGCTTCATTGAACAGAACAGGAGAGTTTACAGAATGACAATGACAGAGTCAGTGTTTCACCTTCTGGCTCTCTAAGCACCAGGGTATATTATAGCTGTTTTCAAAGAATAACCCTGAACATGGTTTATGGAGCCTGAGTGTGCTAATCCGGGAGGGGGAGGACACAATTATAGATCAGAATGAAATAGTTGCTCTGGGTGCTGTCCCTGAGCTACCAGAGTAAGTGCACCCAGGGACAGACAGGAGTGCTTTCCTTGGTTTTGTTGGTTGACTAAAAGCAGAAATCAATGGTGGTTTTATTAAATGAGGTTGAGATTATATAGAGCAGGAATTGGCAAACTTTTTCAGTAAAGGGACAGAGTAATACAATTTTAAGCTTTGTGGTTCATACTGTCTCTGTTGCAATTAATTAGTTTTACTGTTGCAATGCCAGAGGAGTCACAGAAGATATGTAAATGAACTGGGTGACTGTGTTCCAATAAAACTTTATTGATTAAAAACAGAGGGTGGCTTTATCTACCAAGGCAGACCATCATTTCCTCACCCCAGTGAAGGAATTAAAGACTTAAGAACAGAAGTTTGGAGTGGATTTATCCTGCATGAGCCATGCACTGTTTGAACTAGTTGGATCTCATTTTCCAGTAAGATTATTTTCCAATCGTTTCAGTGACTGGATTCCCAGAACATCAGAATCCTCATGGGGACTCCACTAGTCATTGAGCTGATTGAGCCAGTGAAGGCAGAATTGCCCCCAAATGGCTTGTGCCAGGTGGGTACTATTGTCTTCCAAGTGCTTTCTTTAAGGACCTGGCTGAACAGTATCATTTAACACAGCAATTTCAGGCCTTTGAGAGGAGGCTTGAGTCAGGTGAGAGGAAAGTAAATAAAACAGGCCTGAAAAGTCTAGATATCTCTCCTAAGTCTGGGGTCTCAGTTTTAGGGGTTAGGATAAGCAAATGACAAAATGGGTAAGGAAAAGACGAGCCAGGGAGTGAAAAACCATCAGGTGGGTATGTGTTTATATTTAATATATAAACTGCCACAAGCAGTTATTAAAATTAGAGTTAGTTAATATTAAAAGAAAAGAATGAATGGGGTTCCTAGGCCCATTCCTCAGTGGCAACCTGAGGGTGTGTGTAGGGTCCCTACACCAACAAGAAATTTTTGGATATTAGCAGGAGTCTGAGAATTCACCTCAATTCAGCTATATTTTGACACTGGTAGTGTTACAGGGCAGGGAGAGGGGCAGTCCAGACCCCGCAAACCTGCCTGCTCTAAATGGGTTCTGCCATCCACCGCATCAACACAAAACATATGAGACTTTAATGGAAACAATTAGGAAACAATACAGGAAAGGCAAAGAATCTAGTTTCTAAATCAAGCACCCAAAGTTACCCGTCCCCTCGTGGGTAAAAGTCCATCCAAGCAGGATTGGCCCAGAACAAGTCCCCAAAGCCTGCCACAAGTCTAAAGCACTTTTCAATGGGGACCCACAGAAAAGGATCAGAAACAACCAGACAAATCTGGAAGGAAAAGAGCAAAATCAAGACAAAACCCGCCATTGTTACCTCTCCAAGGGTCTCTCACCCACATCTGCTGTTTCAACCAGTCCACAACCAAAAGGCAAGTGTAGTTTCTTCATGTGTCTCTCGGCTCCATGTACCACCTGCAGATCTCCTTCAGGCTCTCCATCCTGCTTCCTTCCTTCCTCAGTCTCCTCTGCACCTTTTTCTCTCTTTGCTCAGCTCCACCCTCCCTTGGGTGGGGCAAGGAACCTGGAACCTCCCCCTTTCCTGGGAACCATGCTGTTATAGTAGCATCAGATTCTGCAGCTCTAAGGGCTCATGTCCCAAAACCTCTCTCTTCAACTCTGAGTCACAAGCCCTGTGCTTCTGACCAACTGACTATGAATTAGAGGCTCCCACTACCTCCACCTCCATTTTGGTTAATTTGCTAGAGCAGCTGATGGAACTCAGGAACCCATTTATTTCCTAATCTCTGATTCATTACAAATGATATCATTACAAAAGGAACAGCCAGTTGGAAGAGAGGCTTAGGGCAAGTGATAGGGGCAAAGGCTTCCACACCCTCTCCCAATCTCCCCAAACCTACATATGTTCACCAACCTGGAAGTTCCTAAAGTCCCTCCCTTTGGGTATTTATGGAAGCTTCATTAATAGGCATGATTGATGAAATCATGGGTGATTGATTTAACCTCTAGGCCCTCTAGGACTAGAAGTTCCAACTAGAATTCTAATTAGTTGGTTGTCATGGGAACCAGGCCCCACCCTTAAGTGCTTCCAAAATTCACCTTATTCACATACCAAAGGACACCTTTATCATTCTTAACACTGAGGAAATTCCATGCCTTTTATCAGCTGGATGCCAGAAGCTGTGGATGAAGACCACATGAGGTATATATTTTGGTCATCTGAACAATAAGAAATATCAATTTCTTATCAATCACAATATCACAACAAAAATTTAGGTCCTCAGTCAGAGCAACCATGTTTTAAGAATGTGTTGTTTGTGAGACTGCACTGATATAGTCCTCTTCTCTATGGGAGGGGTCACTCCTCCATGGAGTGGCCTGTTTGTTGCTGATTTGGTTTAACTAGGCAAAACCTGGAAGGCACCAGAGATTCCAGGATGGGCCCAATCTCCATTATCTTTACCCTCAGGCCTCTACTCCACTCCCCAGAGCAGTCTGAGCCTGCTTGGGTCTCATGCCTTGTGATAAGGCATTGGTGCCTGAGGGTCACGACCTCTATAGGTGGGTTAATGGTCATGTTATTCCCCTCAACCCCCATCTCCTTATGTGAGTCAGGTTTTGGTCCTGGGTCACCTTCTTTCCAGTCTTTCTATTCTTTTCCTCCATCAGCTGCCACATCGGAGCATGAAGACAACATTTCTATCACTGCAGAAAGTTCTATTGCATGGCATTGGCCTACAGATTGTGGATCCAAGCATAGAAGACCTGAGGCTTCCAGTTCTCTGCTTTGAAGGTCACTGGGATTTTATTTCCTGAGAGGGTTGTTAAAGAAGGAGAATGACAAGGCTCAAGGATTCTGTTGCAGGGCAGCCCCGATATAAAACAGGTTGCCTGGCTGTGGGTCCTCACCCGCGCGCTTCAGAGGGACTTATTAATACTCCACTGCAGGCACACGCAAAAGGTTAATAAAAGGTTTATTGACAAGGTAAGGGGAAATGAGGAAATGTACAACTCAGGGAGAAAATAGGGGAATAAAGTCTTAAATGCATCCTACCCGTTCCGCCGAACTGGAAACCCAATGGCACTCTGAGATCTGGTCGCAAGCCAAGAGCCGTGAAGCCAAAAAGCTCCCCCAAGACCCACGTGTCTGGTTTTATACCAAACCTGGCTTCTTAACCCCACCCTCAGTTTCCAGCAACCTTCCCTTTGGTGGTAATGGGATTTGTCTTTCCCAATGTCCTGATGGCTTTGGTCTGGAGTGGGGGTAGAGTCCACAAAGCCTGTATGGAATTAGCTCAGGACATCCTTTTCCCCCTAACAATTCCACTCTGGATAAATTCCTGAGGCTGGCAATGTTGAGTCAAGCTGGGAACTCTGAATGCGGTGAGGCCCAGTGTTCAGCTGCTGTGCCCCTGATGCTTGTGACCTCTCCCCTCACTGCTGTTGCTCTCTGCAGGACACTGGGAGAAGGTGGGAAACTTGGGGGTAGTTTGTGGCTTCCATACTATTCTAGTCTTCGCAGGGGCAGCAAGCATCTGTTGCATTCACCTACCTGGGTATCAATCACCCTTCTTTTCATGATAACAGCCCTATTTTTCTGCTGAGGAGGCAGCAGACTCGGGTCTGAAAGACCACGGTCCTGCTCTTTGGCAGAGTACGGGGGTATTTATACAAAGGAGTAAAATCAAATGGAGATGGACAAGGGTAGGCATGTCCTTTTGATGCAGGCATACGGGGGTCTCTAGTGGCTGGGGTGGGGCCAGCTTGCTTTGTTAACACCTGATGTTTAACTTCCTTAGATGTTTAACTCCCTTATTGCCCTCTTAGTGTGACAGGGTAGTCTCCTGTGACATTAGAAATATCCTTCCTTTTCCTTAGAATGCAAGAACACAAACTTGTGAAGTAGGCTAGGAATGCTTATCTGACAGGGCAGGAAGAGAGATCTGTCCTGTTTCCCTGTGTCGTGGACATGTTGGACACAAGGGCTGGACAGAGTCCTGGCGAACTGGGGCCAAGCTTATGGGTCTAAGTGTGGACATGTGTCCCACACAGGTGCAAGGAGAGTTAGAATTTCTTTGGAACTGTAGGAAAACGGGCACTGTCCTTACACTGGAGATGCTGAGTAGATAAAATGTAGATCTTTGAGTGATTCAGGCAATTTTACTACCACATGGGAAGACCCTGTGAATGATGACAACAAAAGGGAAAACTTGAGGCAAAAAAATGAGAGAAACAGAATTCCCAGGAGCTATGGATAGCTTGTGTCTGAAGCCACTCTGCTTCTGGACTTTCAAATTTTCTAAGTCAATACATTTCATTTTTGTTTAAAACTGCTTCTGTTGGGTATCTCTTGCTGGTAGAAGTCCTAATAAATATTAGGTCATTTCCTCAAGACTCACTTTGCTGGGTCCTGGACCCCAGTGTTGGTCTGGGAGGAGGGAAACTATACTGAGGGAAAAAAGGCCGGACACTCTTATCCACACCATCATCTCTCTGCTCCCTCCCAAGCATTTTCTCAGCATTGCCCACAACTCCTTCCCCAGCACCATCTTCTGACTGCTGTTAGCTGACTTCTTTTCTATTTGATATTCATTATAACTTGATTTCCTCTGGATATGAATGTGCGTGTGTGTGCACACAAGCAAACTTGAGTGTGCATAGAAATTACCAGGTGGACTTGATAAGCACACTTTTTCTAGTCTCTACCCCCAATTTTCTAATTCAGCATGTCTGGGTGGGGCCCAGGAATTTAAATTTCTAACATGTTCCCAATGCTGCTGAGGCTGCTGTCCAGGGACCACACTTTGTGAACTACTGGCATATGGGATGGGGCTAGAATGGAGAGTAACACCTGCCATTTCTAGAATGCCTTACAATTTGTAAAGACCTCTAATGCAGTTTATTTTAATTGAGCCTCATAGTTATCATGCAAGTGAGAAAAGACAACTATTATTGACATAACTGTTATTCTGAAAAGAAAACTGTGGTTTAGAGGGCTAAGGTCATTTGCTAGGTTCACATAGCCAAGACTTATCATTATATAACTCAGACCTCCTGACTGCAGTATGTTTTGTATTGCAGTGTGCCAACTTGTGTGGCAGTGGAATCCAATATTAAGGAGCAGAGGGATAAGGGAGGAAAGGAAGAGAGGGGGGGATCAAGGAGAGATGGGTAGGGAAGGGAGGGAGGGAGACCCTGCCATTGAGCCCCTGGGGTTATGGGGAATACCAAGATTATCAAAGGCTTGACATTAGTTAGACCTGGATTTGGTGCCATTTCTGCAAGATAATAATTACCTACACTGGTAAAAGGGTGGAATGTATGGGGGTAGATGGGTAGTAATAAATTCATGTGACATCTCCCTTAAGAATGGCATAACACATGATGTTCTAGATGGTTGTTACTTCTAGGGCCCATGAGGGGTTATGATTGGGAAGAAATCAGGGGAGTCTCAGCTCCATTGGATTTATTTTATATATTAAGACTGGTGATGGGTGAATCTTTACCTTTTATAAAGGCAGAATAGAAAGGGTTGTTTTTTTGGAACTATCTGTGCATGCAAGCTCTTCTAGATATCTTTGCATTTCAACAGAAGACAATTCATAAACATAAAGGAGAGAATGCCCAGTGGAGGAAAGTCTAGTTTCGGCAATGTATAGGTAAGAAAGACAGTCACAGAGAAGAGAAGAGTCTTTGGGGCCTGCCTGCAGCTAGACATACATCACTGGCCTTGACAGGACTACCTAACAGCTGACTTAGGAGAAAATTACACCCCACCCTCCAGAATAAATCTCCCTGGAAGTCAGCTGGTGTCTGTTCTGAACCCTCACCCCAAAGAGCATGTTGCAGCAGCCATTTTAATAGTCACACCCCTAACCCCAAAATGTCTGAGTTCCCTCTGTGAGTGTTCCTTAATTTTTTTGAGCCAAGATGAATGAACATGCTAATCTTTCTCCTCTCTGCTTCATATCAAGCCCTGGTGCTCGGCCTTGCATTATTCATGAAGGTTTACATTAATCAAATGCTTCCAAGTTTCATAAAGTTTCTATTTTGGAGCACACATTCTTTGTAGAGTTGGCACTTAGTGGACAATAGGATAGGATTTTGGAGGTTATCCAGCATTCTTAATTCCCATCTGCTTTATTTGCTGCAGCTGTTTTATTTCTTCCTCAGAGACCATATCTCAGAATTCTGCAGCATGTAGACTGTGTTCAAATAAATGTGAGCACCAGGAAAGACCTACTGGCTTGAGTGGATGCAAAAAATGTTGAAATAGTCACCCTCATTTTGTCTTCTCTGTCTGCTGAAATCCTGAGATGCTCTTGTGTATAATTTTTGGGGCAGAGGGTGCAAATTGTCCTTCACTATCTATTGTCTCTTAAAAATTGAACTCCCCAATTTTTGTTGAGTCAGGTAGAATAAAGACTACATTTCTTGGGTTCCTGGAACACGCCCTTACAGAGGTCAGGTGACCAAGTTCTGGCCAATGGGGCATAAAAGGAATATTATCTGTGATTTATAGTAGGGGCATGCCCTGTCCCCCAACTCTTCTGTCCTCCTGCCTGCTGAACTGTTCTATCATGGCTGGATTGGACTGCAAAAGGAATTATGTATGGAGGGTAGGAAAGCAATAAGTGGAAGACACTGAAATTGCTAATCCTTATAATATCTTAGCAGCTCTGGACTTTTTGAAAGTGAAAAACTACC